CATTGGCTCTTGATTACATACTACCTCTTGAAATGGTTGAACACAGACTATTTCTTTTTAGTACAGTGATTGTGTATTCCTTACATCTTCTTTTGATGCTTTCGGTTCAGTATTTCGCCTATGTTTGTTGTTAGGTGCCTTCAAGTCAGTTCTGACTCATAGTGACACAATAGAACAAAGTATGTCTGATCCATTGAATCCTTCAATATTGCAACTCGAGGCTTGACTTTTTACTTCAGTTCTTTTAGTTTGAGAAATACTGAGCTTGTTCTTCCCCTTTGGTTTTCTAACTCCATATCTTTGCACAATTATTTATAATACTTGACTTTGTCTTCTTTTTATGTTGTCCTTTAAACTTTCCTGTTCAGCATTTATTTTCTCATTTCTTCCATTTGCTTTTAGCATCTCTACACTGGAAAGCAAGTTTCAGAGTCTCTTCTGACTTCTATTTTAGTTTTTTCTGTCTTTCTTGTTTTCCTAAGACCTTTTGCTTTCATCCTGTTTGATGCTTTTGATGTCATCCCACAACTCTTTTGGTCTTTGGTCTTTAGTGTCTAATGCATCAAATCTGTTCTTGAGATGATCTTTCAATTCATGTAGGACAATATGTTCATGGTCATATTTTGTCTCTCATGGACTTGTTTTAATTTTCTTCAGCTTCAGCCTGAACTTGCATATGAACAATAACAATATTTTAATCTACCTATCCATTGTTATTGTGTTTTAAATTATAACCATAAATACATGTATCCTGGATTCCTGGTGTGGGACTATGGGTTAATGCGCTGGATTGCAGAGTCCGTTTGGACCACAAGGTTGGCGTATCAAGTTCACCAACTGCTCCTTGGAAACCCTATACAGGGTGGCTATGGGTTGGAACTGACTTGATGGGCACTTAACAGCACCAACATGCATGCATCCTTACTAGTTTCAAGTGGCCATTGAGTTTACCCTGACTCATGGCAACCCATATGCCTATGACAGAGTAGAACTGTACTCCATAGGGTTTTCAATGACTGATTTTTCAGAAGTAGATTGACAGGTCTTTCTTCTGAGGTGTCTCTGGGTGAACTGAAACTTCCAATTGAGTTATACAGTTAAATGCATTAACTATTTGCACTACCCAGGCACTCAATGGCCACCACAATGTCTTGGAGACAACAATTTCAGCTTTTATGAAGGAACAAGAGAGTGCTTCAAATGATCAAAATACAGTGTCAGAAAATATGCTATCAGAAATATCTGCTAAAGAGTGATATTTATGTACCTTCAAAGGATTGAGAGAGTGATCAAGAAAACTACAGATGAAATTACAGACAAAACTTTACAAGAATTGAGGAAAACACTACAAGAACAAGCTGAAAAAATAAATGAAAAAGTTGAAACCATACAAAAACAGCAAATAGATGACCAGAAGATTAATGCTAAGACTTCAGAACATATTAAAAGGGCAAAGAAATACAACTGAATCAATAGAAGGCTCAATTAGTTAGCTTGAACACAAATTGTTCAATATTTATTTGCTAGAGGAGCAATTAGAAGAAAGAACAAAAAGTTCTGAAATAAGCCCAAGATTTATTTGGAACACTTTCAAGAGGAATACTTCATGTGTGATTGGAATTTCAGAGCAGAAAGAGGCCACACTCCTCCAAAGAGAGAGACTCGTATAAGAGTTTTTGGGATAAAACTCCCCTAACATCATGAAAGATGAGAAGCTATGCCTCAAGAAGTTAAATGAACTCCATTCAAGAAGTTGAACAGGTTCCAAACAAGATAAACTCAAAAAGAAAATCACTGATGTATTATAATTAAACTTTTCAAAGCCAGAGACAAGGAAAGAATCCTGAGAGCAGCTCAGGAAAAATTGTTACCTAGAAGGAGAATTATTAAGAATAAGCTCTGATTTTTCAGCAGAAACCATGCAGGCAAGAAGACAATGAAATGACATATATAAAACTCCAGAAGGGGGGGAGGGGAAAAGGGGATGCCAACCATAAATCATATATGTAGAAAAATGGTCCATCAAATACGATGGCAAAATTAGGATGTTCCTAGATAAACAGAATTCGAAAAAGTTTGTAAAAACTAGAGCAAATCTTACAAAAAATACTAATGGGAGTTCTCTGGACAGAGAACCAATGACAGCAGACAGCCTGAAATGAACATGCATGACAATATCACCCAGAATTTAAACCAGCTATTGTTGTTAAGTGCCTTCAAGTGGGCTCAGATTCATAGATTCATAGTGACCCTTTCTAGGGTTTACAAGGAGCAATTGGTGGGTTTGAGCCGTAGACCATGAGGTTCAAACGGACTTTTTCGGTCAGTGCATTATCCCGCAGCACCACATCGATATTCTTAAAACAAACTTATTAAATTGCTGTCAAGTAGGTTCCAACTCATAGTAACCCTGTATAGGAATTCCAAAGAGTGGCTGGTGAGCTTGTAACCGCGGCCCCTGCAGTCCAGTTCATTAACCTACAGTGTCACAAACTTTAAAAAGAATGAAAATAGGGAACCAGAAACATCCGTTTACAACAACAAAGAATACAAAGTAGAAAGAGGGAATAATGTAGGTACAAAACTTCCAAATAAAGAAATCAAGTAACTTTCAAGAAATATTAGTAAAACAACCTAACCCCAGCCCTAAAACTAGACTCAGCCTTAATCCAAAACTCTAGCTGCCCAATCCCTAAAACTAACCATAACCATAGCCCTAAATGTGGCACTGTGGGTTAATTCGCTGGACTGAAAAGTTGATTTGAACTGCAAAGTCAGTGGCTCAAGCTCACCAGCTTCTCCTTGGAAACCCTATACAGGGTTGCTATGGATCAGAATTGACTCGATGGCACGCAACAACCTTAACCCTAAATCTTTACTCCTACTTTTCTGCTCCCCCCTACTTCCCCCCCAAAAAAGAGAATTCTAAAGAGAAAATTATCTGGGGAATGGTTTATTTTAACCTAATGTTCGTCTTATAATTCACAGAGCTCCTTATTATTGAAGGCCTGAGATTGAAGGTGTAATCTCTAAGGTAAATTGACATTCAGCTTCCATTTTCACTAGAGACTGATATTTTTAAGAGTATTTGAGGTTTACTTAGTCGTTTATTAAGTGCCATCGAGTCAATTCCGACTCATAGCGACCCTGTACAGGATTTCCTAGGGTTTGAATCGTTGACATTGTAGTTCTTTACAGCCTACAGCTCCACAGTTAAGTCCATTTAAGCACACTTAACTCCACATAAGCAGCTTAATTATTAAATCTCTGCATTAATTCGTTAGAATGTTAGGTGAATAAGAAATATAGTTTCTAATGTCTGGAAACTTGGCATCATGTACCTTAATATTATAAACCAAAATAACTTTTGCACTAATTGAAAAGGAGTCATCGTAGCTCAACAGGCTACACAATGGTTGCTAACTGCAAAGTCAGCAGTTCAAACCTACTAGTCACTCGGCGGGAGAAAGATGAGCCTTGGATAACCAACATATGGTCTCTAAGTCGGAACCGATAACCACCAAGGTACAACAGTTAAATGCCAAATGCCGTTGGGTTGACCCGCATAGGGTTTCCAAGGAGCGGCTGGTGAACTTGAACCGCCGACCCTGGCGGTTTAGATTGCCATTGCAGTCCAGCGCATTAACCCACAGCGCCAAACCAGGACTCCAAGGTGCAATTAGACTAATTAAAAATGCATTTACAATGGGTAGTAAAACGAATGTCAGTTCTTTTTGGAAAGCTTAGTGGCTCTGAAAAGAGCCGTTGGGGTGAGATTTCAACAATTAGTTAAGGCCACAGACTTGTGGCTCACTTGGAGCTGGTGTACTTGGTGACAGCCTTGGTGCCCTCGGACACGGCGTGCTTGGCCAGCTCCCCCGGCAGCAGCAGGCGCACAGCGGTTTGGATCTCCCGGGACGTGATGGTCGAGCGCTTGTTGTAATGCGCCAGGCGAGAAGCCTCACCTGCGATACGTTCGAAGATGTCGTTCACGAAGGAGTTCATGATGCCCATGGCCTTGGAAGAAATGCCGGTGTCGGGGTGGACCTGCTTCAGCACTTTGTACACGTAGACGGAGTAGCTCTCCTTGCGGCTGCGCTTGCGCTTCTTGCCATCCTTTTTCTGTACCTTAGTCACAGCCTTCTTGGAGCCCTTCTTCGGGGCAGGAGCAGACTTGGCAGGCTCAGGCATGATGGAGGTTATCGACGAGAGAATGAGAATGTAGAAGAATGAAAAACCCGCTGGACAGGGTCCTTTTATTCTCAGATCTTAAGCAAACAAGGCGTTCAGTAGTCATGCCTATTATTGGTGATTTCTGAGATGACGTATCAAAATGTTGTCCAATCAAAATAAACGTGCTTTACGTCATAATTCCATTGGTTTAATTAAAATTAATTTTAGCCAATAGCATAGCTTTATTTTCGCGCCTAGAAATGCTACTTGTACGAGAGCTCTAGGATTTTAGTCTGAATTTGCCTTCCAATGCAGTGGATTACTGTGGTCATGTCTGGACACATCAAACAAGGCAGAGTAAGGCTCGCGCCAAGGCAAAACTCGCTCTTCTCGTGCCAGGCTCCAGTTCCCAGTCAGCCGTGTGCACCGTATTTTTTCCTAAGGGTAACTACTCCAAGCGCGTCGGCGCGGGCGCTAGGGCACCTAACAGCCAAGACTTAGCTGGCCGGCCACGCAGCTCTAGGCAAAACATGCATTAATTTTTCGCCATCCGCAACAACGATCAGCAGTTGCGGCAGTCACATTCGCTCTCTCAAAGGCAAATAGGTCATTTACTACTTTTGGAGCCACAGCCAACCTGTCACCACTGCTTTTGATGTAAAGGATCCATCCTTCTAAGCAGGTTCGAGCAAAATTTGAGGGAGAACCAAAAACTCCATGCATATAAAAACAAGACACTAATTGTGTGTGACAGTGCACAGCTTTTTCACAGGTATATTTGGGTGGCTCTGAAAAGAGCCTTTGGGGTTAGGTGTAACAGGAAGTTCTTACTTCTTCTTAGGAGTAGCCTTCTTAGCCTTTGCAGCTTTAGGCTTCGCTGCCTTAGGCTTGGAGGCTTTAGGTTTTGCTGCCTTAGCCTTCACTGCCTTTGGCTTAGCAGAGGTCTTAGCCTTTTTCGGTTTGGCAGCAGATTTGGCCTTCTTTGGGCTCTTGGCCACTTTCTTAACTCCTGCTGTAGCGGGCTTCTTCGCCTTCTTGGGTGTTTTCTTCACTGCCTTTTTGGCTCCTGTAGCCTTCTTGGGCTTTTTAGGAGTAGCTCCAGCGGGCTTCTTGGCCTTAGCGGCGCCTGCTTTCTTAGTTTTTGGCTTGGCTTCCCCAGAGGCTGCCTTCTTATTGAGCTTAAAGGAGCCCGAAGCGCCGGTGCCCTTGGTTTGCACCAGGGTGCCCTTGTTCACCAGGCTCTTCAGGCCAAGTTTGATGCGGCTATTGTTCTTCTCCACATCGTAGCCCCCGGCTGCTAGCGCTTTCTTAAGAGCGGCCAAGGAGAGGCCATTGCGCTCTTTGGAAGCTGCCACAGCTTTAGTGATCAGCTCAGAGACAGGAGGCCCGGTGGCCTTGCGCTTCGCAGCGCCACCAGCTGACTTCTTGGTTGCCTTCTTCTTGGCGGGAGACTTCTCCACCGGCGCTGGGGCGGCGGTCTCGGTAGGCGCCGTCTCCGACATGGCGATAAGAAAATCTACCAGAGAAGGTTTCGAATCCAAGGAGAACAAATTTTGCAATGCTAGCTCGCTCCGGCCCGGGGCTTATATAAGCCGGTGCTGTCTTGTGATTGGTGGAGCAGTCAATCCACCGCCCTCTGGCAGACGCCGGTCAGGGTTGCACTTTTAAATTGTGTTTGTTAGTCTCCGAAATTTGATTAAATGAGAAAAACATCGGTACTAAATTAAGTATTTTGAAGAGCCAAAGGAGGAAAACAGATTACAGGTTCACAAACTTATTTGTGTTTTCATGAATCATGCAAGAAAGAGGAAATATATATTTAAAAAACCCCTTAGCTTTGCGTATGAATCTACTTGCCTGTAAACATCGCGATAGTTAGTTGTATGTTGCAATAAATTTCTAGTAAATATCAAGCGAAAGTTTAAAAAAAGGGTCTGTAAGGAGATTAGGCTTTTGATTTTTGCCTAAGGAAAGACACTTAAGGTCTTGTGTTTAGTAGAAACTTTGTTTCAAAGTGTAATAATTAGCACAGGCATAGGGCAACTGGTTCCCTATTCCCCCAAATCAGTCACCTAGACCCTGTTTTAAAACCGGTTCTGCCTTCATGGCGTTGCCACGTGCTTATGTCTTTATAGACTAGGGATTTTGCAGTTTGGGAAAACTAATTGCCGGGGTGGCTTTCTTCCCATTACAGCAAAAGGAATGGAGATCTTTGCTCCCAAATGCAAAGCCCAGATTGAAATTTCAATTTCAGTCGCGTATGTTATCTAATTTAGGTTTTCTTTGATTCCTAGGCAAATCATTAAAACGAGGGCAAAAAATGATTAATTTAGATCCTTTCATAAACCTGCTGAAAATTATACGTGGTCTCCCAGTTGTTAAATGTTATCGAGTCGGTTCCAACTGACAGTGATCCTGTATAGGGTTTCCGAGGAGCGGCTGGTGAGTTTGAACTGAGCTGACTATGCTTTTCAAACCTAAATAAATCCCACATTGTTTAGATGAGCACGGATTTTGTCAGACTTTCAGTACACTTTTCCAAGTGCTCTTACTAAACTCATTAACATTTAATCCGTTGTAAAGCAGCTCTGGTAGAGTAGCGGTTACGAATGTTGTTGTTAAGTGCCATCAAGTCGGTTCCGACACATAGCAACCCTGAACAGGGTTTCAGAGGTTTTAAATCTTTATGGGAGCAGAAAGCCACATCTGCCTTCCGCGGAGCAGCTGGTAGTTTCGAACTGCTGACCTTGCGGTTCGCAGCCCGATTCGTAATCACTAAGCTACCAGAGCTCTTGAGTGGTTACAAATAGAGCTGCTAATCTCACGGTCAGCAGTTCGAAACTACCAGCTGTTTCGCGGGAGAAAGATGAGGCTTTCTGCTCCGGTAAAGATTTACAGCCTCGGAAACCCTATGCAGGGTTGCTATGAGTGGCAACCAACTCCACCGTACACCACAACAAATGGAGTCCTAGTGTGGCGCCAGACTGCAAAGCCTTTTGAACTGCAAGGTCGGCGGTGCAAGCTCACCAACTGCTCCTCGGAAACCGTAAACAGGGTAGCTATGGGTCGGAACCGACTCTACAGCACTTAATATCAATGGTCAGGAAAACCATCCTCTGCAAGTGGCCAGGAGACATCAGGTCCAATCCATTCATGTGAGAAATAACTCTTGTGATCCATCTTCAGGAATTCATGAGATTGCAAGAGTTGGCAGACAGATTGTTGATTTAAACAGGCTATTCTGGGAGTAGGAAATTTAAATAAAAATGCAACCATTAAGACCTTGGGCAAGCCATTTTGGCTTCTCTGGGAGGAGGGAAAATGGGATGTACCATAGAATTGTATATGGAGAACTGGAACTGGAGGAGGGGCTTTTTGGGGGACAAGAATATGTTGTGTCTCAATTTACCCAGATGACCACTCAAGACCCTCAGGATCAGCAACGAAGCCTTTATTAACTGGCCAGCGACTACAGCCTCTCTAAAAGCAGGAAAAACTACAGCCCCAACCCAGTTTTTCAAAGAGTATCTACACATAGGCAGTGTAACATTATCTTGTACAAACCAAGGGTATGATGTATACATGAGCTGTTAGGGTGGGAGCTAGGAGTACATTTGCTGGGACAGTTACTTTTCAAGATTAACTTTGGCCAGCTGTTCTCAAGGTTAGCCTTTGCCACTGGTCGCAGTGTCCTTATTAGTCAGGTGGGCCCACTCAGATGTGAGGAATTTGCATAAGCATTTTTACAGAAGCCAAGTTTAGCTACAGTTAAGGGGGAAGGGGGTTTCTGCATCCAGGGAAGTTGTTAATGCTAAAAAATTTCCACTTCAGCCTGAGCCTTTCTTTAAAATTGGTTACTATTATAGGGCAATTGGGCCTTACAAATAAAAACCATTTGTTGAGGGCCATGTGGGCATCTGCCGTGTCTACGAGGCTGGGCACCCGATTTTGCAAAATTGAATAAAGGAAACCTCACTCTCAATAAAATGAGTACAGATTGGATTACTTGAGGGTTTGTCGGTATAGACATTTCTCACAATCCGTATTTTAGAAAAATAAATAACAGATTATTTCAAGGATAGATTTGGTATTGAGGGGCTGGAGTTTACCAAGGTTCAGCAAATGAAAGAAAATACTGATGCCTAAGAGAGCTAAGACAATGACTATGATGTTGAAATGAAGCTTGGAAAAGTTTGCTGTTTATTTGAGAGAGGAAATTAAAGGATTGTGTGGCTGCTTGATAAGAGAGATCAAATGATGGTTCAAATCTCTGATACAATCAACAGCCAGAAAAACTGTCAGGAAGGCTAAAATGGCCCCTTCATTTCCCTCCTTCCCCCACTCCCTCCAGGAGCTTCTGGACTGCTATTATTCATCCTTAGAGTCCTGGTGTGGTGCTGCATGGTAATGCACTGGACCACAAGGTCGGTTTGAATCACAAGGTTGGTTTGAACCCCAGGGATGGTGGTTCGAACTCACCAGCCATTCCTTGGAAACCCTATACAGGGTTGCTATGAGTTGAGATTGACTCTAAGGCACTTAACAACAACAAAAACTGGAATTATTCTAAGTATGCTCTATTACAGGATGTTACTTATTTGCTGTGATGCTATGCCACCAGTTTGATGGACATGTTTCAGGAGAGTCCAGAATAAGACAGACTAGAAAGAAGGATTTGGTGATCTACTTGTAAAAAAAGACCAGTGAAAACCTTATGAATATCAGTGCAACTTTGTGTCTGATATAATGTCTGAAGTTGAGGCTTTCAAGTTGGAAAAGCATTCAAAATAGGGAAGCCTGAAGTTGATCACACATGCAATTAAGATGCATTGATATTACTGGTGATTGTAAAGACAAGGTTGGAAGAAAGAAATATTAGTAGTTAGACAATATGGCTTGATATTAGAAATGATACCAGAGATCTCATGATAGAATGTCTGCTTCCTTGGAAATATTTTTTTTTTTATTCAACCTCTCACATTTCAACTAAACATGTGAATCTTGCTAGATGGAATACACAGGAAATCAAATCAACTACATCTGTGGAAAATGGTGGTGAAGAAGGTGTTTCATCAGTTAGAACAAGGCTGACTAGAACAGACCATCAATTGTTTATATGCAAGTTTAAACTGAAGCTGAAGAAAACTAAAACAAGTCCTCAAGAGCCAAAATATGACTATGAGTATGTTGTTGTTATGTGCTGTAGAGTCGGTTCCGACTCATAGCGACCCTGTACAGGGTTTCTGAGGCTGTGAATCTGTACAGGAGCAGAAAGCCTCATCTTTCTCCCATAGAACAGCTGGTAGTTTCGAACTGCTGACTGTGAGGTTAGCAGCCTGATTCATAACCACTATGCTACCAGAGCTCCTTGACCATGAGTGTATCCCACCTGAATTTAGAGATCATCTCAAGAACAGATTTGATGCATTAAACAACACTGACTAAAGACCAGTTGAGTTGTGAAATGACATCAAGGAAGGATATCATATGAAGAAAGCAAAAGGTCAGTTTTAAAAAGCAGCAAAGACCAAAATAGATGTCAGAAAGAGACTCTGAAACCTGCTCTTGAACATAGAGTAGCTAAAGCAAATGTAAGAAATTATAAAGTAAAAGTTCCGAACAGAAGATTTCAGGGGGTAGCTGGAGAAGACAAAGCAAAGTATTATAATGAAATGTGCGAAGACCTAGAGTTAGAGAACCAAAGGGAACAATACACTTTGTACTTTTCAAGTTCAAAGAACTGAAGAGAATTTCAAGCCTTGATTTGCAAAGGATTGTACAAGTCCTGGTGTGGTGCTGTAGAATATGTACTAAACCACAAGGTCAGTTTGAACTTTAAGGTTGGTGGTTAAAACTCCCAGCTGCTCTTTAGAAACCCTATACAGGGTCATTATGAGTCAAAACCGACTTGACAGCACTTAACAACAACATGGACAAAAAGGCTTCTGGACTCCTGGTGTGGTGCTGTAGGATCAGCACTGGACTGTAAACCACAAGGTCGGCAGTTTAAACCCACTAGCTGCTCTTCAGAAACCCTATACAGGTTCACTATGAGTCAGATTCGACTCTGGGGAACTTAACTACAACATGGGCAAAAAGTAGTCCTGATATGGCACTGTTGGATAAGCACTGAAATGTTAACCTAAAGGTCAGTGATTCAAACCCACCAGAAGTTCCTTGGAAACCCTATACAGGGTTGTTATGAGTTGAAACTGACTCAACAGTACTTAACAACCACAACATGGACCAAAAAAAATTGAACTATCAAAAGAAGATGGAAGTAACACTGAGTACCAAAAAGAATTGGTCCACCTTCAACATTTCAGGACGTGGAACTAGTAATGTCATTGCTATTATCAGATCTCTACTGACAAGAGAATACCAGAAAGATGTTTATTTGTATTTTATTAACTATGCAAAGGTTTCTGAATGTGTTTGTTCTTAAGTGCCGTCAAGTTGTTTCCGACCCGTAGTGACCCTGTATAGGGTTTCCGAGGAGCAGCTGGTGAGCTTAAATCGCCGACCTTGCAGTTCAAATGGCTTTGCAATCTGGCGCATTAACCCACAGTGCCACACCAGGATTTCTCTGAATGTGTAGATCATAACAAATTATGGGTAACATTGCAAAGAAATGGGAGCGTGTGTTTAAAACCCAGTTTAGTGTGAAGACCTGCATTGCTTGCACATGCTTTTAGTTTTCAATCCCATCTTATTGGGGGGGAAAAAAATCATGAAAACCCTCTAGCAAGAGCATTCTTAAAATTTAAGGGACAAACTAATTTTAGAGGCAGAGCTCATTGTAAAAATAGCTGTAAATGTACTTATTCTCAGCTGTTGACCCAAGCTCCCTAGAGTTCATCTTTTGGTACACATGATACTGAAAGGATCTAGAAACAGCAATGAGTCTAGTCTCTAATTCTGTTCTTAAAATGACACATAGGCAGAGATTCCATTAGCAAGGTTAAAGCGAGTCGCACATGAGTTGTTTCCTGTAGTAAATCGTGTATACAAACATAAGACTTGTCATAGTCTGCGTATGTTTATATAAAGCATGACTGCAGTCTACCAACAAGTAGAAAAGAATGTCATCACTGTGCAGCTTTTACGAGTCCGACACTAGACCGCAAGTCTCTACTCAATCCCAAAGTTAGAACCGACTCGGTGGCACCCACCATTCACTGTATTAGTGAGAACAGCTCTTTCTTAGTGAAAACTGAGGGGCTCTGAAAAGAGCCTTTGGGGCGTGCGTATTATGGGCTATTTAATAGCTTAAGCTCTCTCACCACGGATACGGCGGGCTAGTTGGATATCCTTGGGCATAATGGTGACACGCTTGGCGTGGATGGCACACAGGTTGGTGTCCTCAAAGAGCCCCACCAGGTAGGCCTCGCACGCCTCCTGCAGCGCCATCACGGCCGAGCTCTGGAAGCGTAGATCAGTTTTGAAATCCTGAGCGATCTCACGCACCAGCCGCTGGAACGGCAGCTTACGGATAAGCAGCTCGGTGGACTTCTGGTAGCGCCGGATCTCGCGCAGCGCCACGGTGCCCGGCCTGTATCGGTGAGGCTTCTTCACGCCACCGGTGGCTGGCGCACTCTTGCGGGCAGCCTTAGTGGCCAGCTGCTTGCGCGGCGCCTTGCCACCAGTAGATTTGCGAGCTGTCTGCTTAGTACGGGCCATTTCCAGAAAGAGGTAACACAACCAGAAAATGAGGTTTTCCAGCTCATAATCGCAGTATTTATAGGAACTCTCGTGTTCTGATTGGACAATTTACTGCTACTCCGCCCTACCCTCGCCGAATTGGCTCCCATCTTAACCCAGTAATTCATGCAAAATGTTTCCCGCGCCCATTTTGGTCTAGAAAACGTACAAAGAACTTATTTTATTGTTTTTTCTCCCCTCTTTTTAAAAAGGATTTTGCATGTATGAAGATTACTAGAGAGTGTTGTTTGCTTCAGTATCCATTGCTTTAAATAGGTGTTATGGATTCTTTCGACTGTTGATTAACATTAAAGGGAAAAACTGAGATTAAAAGACTTTTTTTTTTTAAGACTTTGAAATCGAAATTCGAACCACTCTGCTACATAAGTGCCGTGGAGTCGGTTCCGACTCAAATTGACCCTGTATAGGATTTCCGAGGAGCGGCTTGTGGGTTTGAACTGCTGACTTTGGCAGTCCAATGCTGTATGTTGTGTGCTGTCAAGTCGGTTCCGATTCAGGCAACCCTGTATAAATTTTCAGAAGGCGGCAGGTGGGCTCTATCAACCTTTCGGTTACTATGGCTAAGTGCCGTTGACACGGTTCTGACTCTTGTTGTTATGTGCCATGGAGTCGGTTCCGACCCATAGCGACCCTGTACAGGGCTTCCGAGGCTGTAAATCTTTACGGAAGCAGAGATCCTCCTCTTTCTCCCGCGAAACAGCTGGTAGTTTCGAACTGCTGACCTTGAGGCTCACAGCCTGATTTGTAACCACTAAGTTACCAGGGCCTGTAAAGGGTTTCCGGGGAGAGGCAGATTAATTAGAATTTAAACGTTGAGGTTCAGACGGACTTCTCAGTCCAGTGCGTTATCCTGCAGCGCTACACCTCGCACTTCCAAAATGTAAGAACCCCGTACTTAATAACTTCCAAAGCTTTTGTAAATTGTAGTCAGAACCCTTGGCTTTGCCAAGTCATACAGTTCCGCTCACTACCTCGTGTTAAGTGGCGTCGAGTCGGTTCTGACCCTGTATAGAGTTCCGGAGGAGCAACTGGAGATCTTGAGCCGATCACCTTGCGGCTCAAACTGATCTTGCAGTCAAGCGCATAACCCACAAGGAAAAAGTATGGAAACATGACATGTAGTTTTGCCAACAGCAGTCTTTCGCCCTCCTGGATTTGCATACCCTGCATAAAGTGGTTATTCTGCAGATGGATATGCAACATGGCATTGAACTGAGCCACCTAACTTTAAACTCAGTGAAAACATGGTCATGTATCTCAGAAACCCTTTAAAATGTTCCAAGCTCTTTAACAGATATCGTGGGTGGCCCTTAAAAGGGCCTTTGGGGAACGAAAATATCCAAAAAAATTCCTAACCCCCAAAGCCGTAGAGGGTGCGCCCTTGGCGTTTCAGCGCATAGACCACATCCATGGCAGTGACTGTCTTGCGCTTGGCGTGTTCAGTGTAGGTTACGGCATCACGGATCACGTTCTCCAGAAACACCTTGAGAACCCCGCGGGTCTCTTCATAGATAAGGCCAGAAATACGCTTGACACCACCACGCCTCGCCAAGCGGCGAATAGCAGGCTTGGTAATGCCCTGGATATTGTCTCGTAGCACCTTACGATGGCGCTTAGCGCCTCCTTTCCCCAGGCCCTTACCACCCTTACCGCGACCAGACATGTTGGAGTCGATATGGAATACAGTCAGCTAAGCCCTGAAGTGCTGTCTTATATAGCAGTTACTCGGACCTGTTTGAAGACTTCTCACCCCACCCTTCCCTACCTCCCCACCCCCTGTATCCGCTTAGCTCTCTGATCTGTAGCCCTGCCTACAAATCCTGGGGGTGGGGGAGGGGGAGGAGGGCGGCGTTTAAACGCCTAGTTTCAAAATGATGCCTAAGCAAAAGTTACTACTGGTCATATAAAAAGCTCTCCCTTCAGTGCTTTGCACCTACTCATCAATGTAAGGCCTTCCTTTTGTTCTGTTCAGGCCATGAAAGTCTGAAGTCACCTTTTGACACTGATCACTGGATGCTGGAATCATTTTGACAAGGAGGATGGTGCTCACTTCAGTTATTTGTGAAACTGTCTCAGATGCCAAATACTTCCCATATAATCTCATTTAATCAGTTGACTCAAAAATTCTTTCCTTATGATCTTGATTTAGTGAGCCTGAAAAGAGGCTAACTTCAATTAATGCTTGATTCTGACTTCAAGATTCAATTTAATAATCCATTTCTCACTGAATTTATAGGCTGGCTTCTTTTTTCTTCTGTTAAGTAATAACAGAAGGAAAAAGTCCTAGTGTGACACTGTGAATTGGCACTGGATCTCAAAGTTGGTTGAATTGCAGGATTAGTGGTTCAAGCTCGGTCACCAGCCTGATAAAGATGATGAACTCTGAAAGGTCTGCAGTTTGGTTTGGTTGCTTTGACAATTTGCCTTGAGACTGATACATAGTCATCTTGCTGTGTGTCATCCAGTAGGTTTGGACTGATAGTGAACTTTTATAGGGTTTCTGAGAAACTGGTGGGTTTGAATTGCCAATCTTGTTTTTATCAGTCCAGTGCTTATCCTACAGTGAATGCCACACCAGGATTTATCTTGTTAAGCACCATCAAGTCATTCTGACTCATAGAAACTCTCTATAAATTTTCCAAGGAGCTGCTTGGCTGGTGGGTTTTGGACCACTGATCTTGCAGATAACAGTCCAGTAGCACTTATCCTACAGTGCCACACCAGGACCAGGTTCATCTTGTTTTTTGTTAAGTGCTATAGAGTCAGTTTCATGTATAGAGTCAGTTCCACTCACAGTGACCATGTATAGGATTTTCTAAGGAGCCACTGGTGGATTTGAGCCCCCACCATTGCAGTTAACAATCCAGTATTTATCCTAGAGCGCCACCCCAGAACTTTACAAGGATTTACATGGGGTCTCATCTTTGTTAGTGTGCCATTCAATTGATTTCAACTCATAACAAACCTGTTTCCAGGAGTGGCTAGTGGATTTGAACCACTGACCTTGTGGTTAGCAGTTCAATGCTTATCATACAGTGCCACACCAGGACTCATCTTGTTGTGTGCTGTTGAGTCAGAGTTGGTTCCAACACAGGAAACCCTGTATAGGGTTTCCAAGGAAGGGCTGGTGAGTTTGGACCACTGATGTTGCAATTCAAACTGACCTTGAAGTCAAGTGCTTATCCTATGGCACCACCCCAGGACTCTAGGCTCAAAGATTCATCTTGCTGTTGTGTTGCTGTGAATTGCCGTCAAGTCAGTTCCAACCCATAGCGACCTTGTGTAGGGTTTCCAAGGAGCAGCTGGTGAGCTTGAACCTCCAACTTTGCAATTCAAACGGCTTTTCAGTCTGATGCATTAACCCACAGCGCCACATCAGGACTCCAAAGATTCATCTTATAAAGGTGTAAATACTTGTGAATTCTCTGTTAAATCAGATACTTTGTCAATTCTTTTCTCCCACTTACATAGAGGAAACACTTTGACTAACTCTGGAGATTTCTTAATTTGGAAAGGGTTTAAGAATCTTGTTTTACTAGAATTAAGAACTCTTTTAATGTTTCATTTTTCTCTTCTTCCGCAAATAATGGTGCTAATTGCCATAACTGTCCCAATAAATTCTTGATGATTACATGGAACAAGTACTGTGTGGTTGGTTTTCTTGTTGTTGTTGTTGTTGTTTTTCTTTTTCTTCTCATATTAGGAAGGATTGAATAAACAGTGAAGCAATTTGACTCTAAAGTACATAGTGTTGCCATGATTAGGATTTGACTCAGTGGCAACTGGCTAATCCAAATCCTAACTCACTGTCACTGGATTTCAACTCAGCAACCCTTCTCAGGCAATAGGCTAGTGGGTTTTAACCACTGACCTTTCGATTAGCTGTCCAACGCCTAACCCATAGCACCACCATGGCTCCACATATGGCATGTTGTTGTTGTTGTTAAGTGCTGTCGAGTCGGTTCCGACCCATAGCGACCCTGTACAGGGTTTCCGAGGGTGTAAATCTTTACGGGGAGTAGAACACCTCATCTTTCTCCCGCGGAGTGGCTGGTAGTTTTGAACCGCTGCCCTTAAGGTTCGCAGCCCATTTCGTAACCACTACGCTGGTAGCGTAGTGATTACGAATTGGGCTATGAACCGCAAGATCAGCAGTTCGAAACTACCAGTGGTTCCGCGGGAGAAAGATGAGGCGTTCTGCTCCCGTAAAGATTTACAGCATCGGAAACCCTGTGCAGGGTCGCTATGAGTCAGAACCGACTCCATGACACTTAACAACAACAACCTCCCTGAGTATACGTCAGGTTCATCAAATTGCAGCAATTTACCCTTACATATGGACTCAAAAAGCCTCACTGCCATCAAGTTGATTCGGATTTATAGTGACTGAATGAGTCCTGGTGTGTTGCTGTGGGTTATTTCGCTGGACTGCAAGGTCAGTTTGAACTGCAAAGTCAATTGTTCAAGCTCACCGGCTGGTCCTTGGAAACCCTATACAGGATCACTGAGTCGACAACACTTAACAAGAACAACAAGGGTTTCTGATGCTGTACATCTTTAAGGGAGCAGAAAACCATTGCTGGAGGGATCTGACCTTGAGATTAGCAGTCCAGTGCTCCAGCACCACACGAGGACTTCTCATGAAACTGTTCTAGTAGTTTGTAGTTTATTATATGTTATACAATAAATGCTAGATGAATTGAAAACAAATGAGATTTCCCCACTTCAAAGCTGATAGTCATATATCACCATCCCAGGTCCATACCTACAAATCAGGCCTACCTGAACAATCAATAGATTTCACCTTCTTTCTAAATCTCTGGTAGCACTAAACCTTCAGTATCTGTGGATAACAATAAAAGAAAAACCTGCTGATTCCTGGATATTGAGTAAGGCAAATTCCTCACGGTCCAGACATTTCTGGACTCTGTTGGATGACTCTTTACTCTACTTGTTTTTTTCCTTTTGCCTCATCTTTCTCCCAGAGTGGTTGGTGGGGGTTGGATGGACCTTTTGGCTACCAGCCCAATGCTTAACACACTGTGCCACCAGGGCTAGTTTTCCCTAAAGATTTACAGCCTTGGAAACCCTATGGGGACAATGTAGGATAAGCCCTGGAGTGCTAACTGCAAGGTTGGCAGTTCACACCCACCAGGTACTCTCGGAAACCCTATACAAGATTGCTAGGAGTTGGAACTGACTCCATGGCACACAACAACCACAACAAAGTGACTGGAATGAAATGCATGGTGTAGGACATGTCAGTATGCAACAAAAACCTGAGATTGAGTGGGACCTAGCTCCTGTATAAACGTGAAAGCAAATTAAAGGGAGGGATTATTGGTTGTGTGCTGTAGAGTTGGTTCTGACTTATAATGACCCTGTATAGGGTTTCTGTGGCTGTAAATCTTTATGGGAGCAGAAAACCTCATCTTTCTCCCATGGAATAGCTGGTAGTTTTGAACTGCTAACCTTGCGGCTTGCAGCCCGAGTCATGACCACTACGCTACAAGACTCTTTTATTAACACTTAAGCAGGACAAAGACAAATCATCTGGATGAAGGAGACCACCTGTATAAAACCATGATATCTAAAGGATTCACAGTCAAGTGGCTAATTATAGAAAACAAAGGAAATCTTCTCAAAATCTTAATTGGCAGCAAATCAGTTCATCAATATTGCAGACCAGACTACAGAAGTGGGGAAAAGATCATGATTGGGCTACATATACAATTACAGATTAGAAAATTTTACAGGGTTGGTTCTGGGGTCTTCAGGCCACCTGGTTATTGTTAAGTGTCGTCGAGTCGGATCTGACCCATTGCAACCCTATACAGGGTTTCTGAGGAACAACTGGTGAGCTTGAACCATCAACCTCGCAGTTCAAACGTTTGCAGTCTGGAGCATTAACCCACAGGGCCACACCAGGATAGTTAGGGTATGAAATATGACTATGCAGCTCTGATAACCCCAATCTCCACTAAGGGAATGCATGCCCAGGCAAGTCATTTTGAGGCTGGTAGGCTTGTGGAAATAGGCTCTGACCCCTCATGTCCCCTAGGCTCATAGTTCATTCCTGGAGCAAGGTTTACATTCCAGGAAATAAGCAACAGACCACCTCAGCCTCATGTGATCACCCAGGCTAATCTCCTGTTCCTGACCCACCTCCGGGTGGTGAGCTAATGTTTACCTGCTTCCACTTCTGTAACTGCTTGTTTGTATGCTCCTATGTCTTTCCCCCGCCATGTGTTTGAACCAACCAATCCCAGGTAGCCCTGTGAAGTTGTTGACCCCCGCTAACCAATCCCAAATGAACTCATGTATGCACCCCTTGTTGTTGTGAAGTGCCCTTGAGTCGGTTCCAGCCCATAGTGACCCTGTATAGGGTTTCCAAGGAGCAGCTGGTGAGCTTGAACTGCCAACCTTGCAGTTCAAACGGCTTTGCAGTCTGGCGCATTAACCCACCGCGCCGCACTCCCTATAAAATATCCTCAAACAGAGAAGATGGGGGCTAAGCCTCTGGATATGAATTTGCTGAGCCACGTGCTAGCACAATAAAGCCCTTCCTTTGTTACAACCGCGTGGCCTTGGCAACTCCATCAGAGCGACTCCGGTAACAATTTCAAGGCAAGACTGTCCCTTTCCCTGTTGCTGTTAAGTGCCCTGGAGTCAGAACGGATTCATAATGATCTTGTATGTTTCCAAGGAGCAGCTGTTGAGTTTAAAGTGCCAATCTTGTGGCTAGCAGTGCCGTGCTTATCCTACAGCTCTACACCAGGAATCATCTCCCTGGGCTGGGTAAAAACCCACAACTATTGACTTGATTCTGATCAATAACGACCCTATGGAACAGAGTAAAACTGTTTCTTAGGGTTTCAAAAACAGTAAATCTTTAAGGGAACTGTACTGGTATAGTGTAGGATAAGCACGCAACTGCAAGGTCAATTTGAACTGCAAAGTTGACGATTCAAACTCACCAGCCACTCCTGGAAACCCTATACAGGCACTTTACAATAAACATTGGCTAGATGAGATTGTAATATACTTTCAAACACACTCTGCCTGAGGGAAAAGCATTTTACATTTCTGATTAATGGTCAAAGAGAATTTTAAAATAAACAATTTATGTCAAGACTAAAAATGGAATCAGTTCTCACTGTAAACAGCATCATTCAGTAAAGCAATTGCTTAGGATTTAAACCCTAACCGTTTTTAAAATGATTACTGATCTTTCTGAACTTTTATGAGGGAAAGAAATAATAAAGGCAAGTGCTTTGTGAATTTTAAAATAAAGTATGCATAATGAATTAACAAATTCACTCATTTAACAAATATTCATTTATTTAACCTGTCTTGTGCTGGTCACTTTCTATTCTAGGGACATAACAGCAGCGAATCCAGTCCAAAGAAACTTTGACCTATGACGTGAATATTGTATAGAAAGAGAAAGTGAGTAAAATTTTATTTTTAAAACTGATTTACAGATTTTGGAGAACAAATGTCTCCTAGGTCTAGTGTTTCATACACATAAGTATGACATCAAGTAAAGTCGGGCAGTCAGCTGGAGGGTTTAGGAACGGGGTTGATGGCAGAATGCCTGTCACGCTTGTGGATACTGCCGAATAAAAACCAGTGGGTGAGCTAATTTGCTTTAATCTTGGAGTAAATGTGAAGAATAACTTTTCAGAGCTTTTATTTTTAAGATTGCCAGAAGACAAACTACTGGTAGACAAAGTACAAAGTTTCTAGGCTTCCAGATTATACAAACTGTTTCCATCAAATTTACAGTCATAATGTGGGAAGAGATGACAATACCTATGCTCTGAACTCACTTGTAGTTGGCTAGTAAATCCATGCTTGCTGTAAATAAACTTGTTTCTTAGGGCCTTTGCTACATCCATTGTCTCGGAATCCTGTGTGGCGCTGTAGGTTATTAACCCACGATACTGGGTCCCTAGGGATTGGAACAGATTCGACTGCACTAATACTGAAACCTGCAGAGCGAGATAACTTGAGGACAGTTAACTTGCTTTACAGTTATTAACAGAACCTAGCGGTCTCCTCTGCACAGGGGGCGATTCTTTAAACATTGTGTTTGCAGCTGCTTCCATTGGAGTGTAAATGGCTCTAAAAAGAGCCTTTGGAAAGGAATAGATTACCAGGACTAGCTGCAAGGCATTAGGCCCGCTCCCCACGGATGCGACGGGCCAGCTGGATATCCTTGGGCATAATGGTAACGCGCTTGGCGTGGATAGCACACAGATTGGTGTCTTCAAAAAGTCCGACCAGGTAGGCCTCGCACGCCTCCTGCAGCGCCATCACGGCCGAGCTCTGGAAGCGCAGATCAGTCTTGAAATCCTGAGCGATCTCGCGCACCAACCGCTGGAAGGGCAGCTTACGGATCAGCAGCTCTGTGGACTTTTGGTATCGCCGGATCTCGCGCAGCGCCACGGTGCCAGGCCGGTAACGGTGAGGCTTCTTCACGCCACCCGTGGCCGGCGCGCTCTTACGGGCAGCTTTTGTAGCCAACTGCTTACGCGGTGCCTTGCCGCCGGTGGACTTGCGAGCTGTCTGCTTGGTACGAGCCATAGTTTTAAGCTGCGCTTTGAGAAAAAACTGAAGAAGTGGTGTTGGGACCAGACTTTATACTAATGCTCCGATCCTGATTGGCCAGTAATGTTGTAGTTGTGACTGGATTGGTTCTTACTTCAATCTTTATTTGGTTGCTTCCACCCCTACCCCCCCACCCCTGCGGGGAGTCCTGGTGTGGCGCTGTGGGTTAATGCGCCAGACTGCAAAGCCGTTTGAATAGCAAGGTTGGTGGTTCAAGCTCACCAGCAGCTCCTTGGAAACCCTATACAGGGTCGCCATGCGTCGGAATCGACTCGTTGGCACTTAACAACAACAGCAACAACCCCTTGCGGAGTCCTGGTGTGGCCCTGTAGCATAAGCACTGGGTCGCTATGAGTCGGAACTGACTGACCGCACTAAACAACAATGGGTTAGAACGGACTCGACAGCACTTCACAACACCAACAACCCCTCTGAACTGCTAGCTTCAGGGTCCGTGGTTCAAACCCACCAGCTGCTCCTTGGAAACCCTGTACAGAGTCAGTATAAGTCGAAACCGATTCATGTCACTCAAAAATTCAGGACAGTTTTGTTTCCCTTGAGACATAATTTTTATTTTCTAATGTTGCAGGACACAGTGATTGCTGTGTTTCATTGTACTTTACTCTCTTCGACGAATCACTTTATTAAACGATTCCCTCAGTGAACAGGGAATCTGACGGTGAATTTTTGGATGTTATGCGCCTATACTATTCTTAAGGAAACGCATTTTCATTGGAGCCTCTTTTCTTTCTCAGATAATACGAAAAACAATTCCAGAATACTGTATTAGTCTATGAAAAAAGGTTGTTTAATCACCAAATCATCCTGTTCTGCTTTTAGTGACTGTACTAAACTCAGAACAAAAGTTCTGGAGTAACAGAGTTTTACTCTGCCTAGTGTGGCTTTTGGACTGGATACAAGCTCTAAATAATGTGCAATTATTTTCGTTAACATGATTTTGATGCAAACAGCTAACTATTCAATAAGAAAATTCAAGTTTTTAATCAGGATGTATGCGGTAATAGATTTGCACTGATCAGTGATTAGGGTTTTTCCGGTAAGCATAACACTGGGGGAAAAAAAAGTTTGGGTTAGGACTGAGGTTTTAATTGAGCAGTGGATGACCAGGCTCTACTATTTGCAAAGAAAAAAAACTGGCCTAAAGTATTTAACATATTATCTGGAGCAAATGTTTACAACTGTGCTTTTTGAGACAGGATGAAATGTTCATGACAATAAAGACGAACTGCATTTGTATATTGCTTTTTATTATGAATTTAGTGAATGTTTTGCAAGCAATATGCGTACACCTTCGTTTCATATGCTTGCAATCACCTCCACGTTTGTCAGTTAACGGTATTTACCTCTACTTACTAACTTTTGCATTCTTCCGTGTCTTTGCTTCTGTCATCTTTCCAGTCAACCTCGCTCTTGCATTGACTGCCTGGTCCCAAGTTAACATGTGGGCACCCTCTAGCCAGTAGATAATCTCTTCCCTCCAACCCCCTAGTAAGCATGTTATGTGCCGTCGAGTCGGCTCCGACCCATAGCGACCCTGCACAGGGCTTCCGAGCAGCTAGTGACCTTGAACCGTCGACCTTGCAGCTCAAACGGCTTTACAGTCTGGCACATTAACCCACAGCAGGAGTCTCTTTCTGCTTTTGTGTTTATGTGCTTTTACTAAAGTAGATACTGGTTTACAAATAGTGTTCAGTTCTTTCGAAGAAATGCTGCATGGCTCTGAAAAGAGCCTTTGGTTAATCAGAGGTTTATAGTGAATTCAGACCTTACTTGCCCTTGGCCTTGTGGTGGCTCTCGGTCTTCTTGGGCAACAACACGGCCTGAATGTTAGGCAAGACGCCACCCTGGGCGATGGTGACTTTACCCAACAGCTTGTTGAGTTCCTCGTCGTTGCGAATAGCTAGCTGCAGGTGGCGCGGAATGATGCGTGTCTTCTTGTTGTCGCGGGCTGCGTTGCCCGCCAGCTCCAGGATCTCAGCCGTCAGGTACTCCAGCACCGCTGCCAGGTACACCGGAGCGCCGGCCCCGACCCGCTCGGCATAGTTCCCTTTGCGGAGGAGGCGGTGGACACGGCCCACTGGGAACTGGAGTCCGGCGCGGGAAGACCGAGTCTTAGCTTTGGCGCGTGCCTTACCTCCCTGCTTACCACGTCCCGACATAATGGCTTGTTTAAGACAACTGAGACAGAGTGTAGAAACCGGCACCTTTTATAGTTACTGATGGGCGCGAAAATACAACTGTGCCATTGGCTAAAGGGCAAACACAGTTTTTTAAAATGTTATGGTCTGATTGGAAAATAGAGATTGATGTCATTTCCGAAGGGCCTCCAATCAGGCAAAATCTATACGCATCCTAATTTACATATGACACTATAAATCGAAAGAACGCTACTGTTTCTCTGTTTACTGTGGTGTTCTGTAGCTCCACTATGCCTGACCCGGCCAAGTCAGTCCCTGCCCCGAAAAAGGGCTCGAAAAAGGCGGTGACTAAGGCGCAGAAGAAAGACGGCAAGAAGCGTAAGCGTAGCCGCAAGGAGAGCTATTCCATATACGTGTACAAGGTACTGAAGCAGGTCCACCCCGATACCGGCATCTCATCCAAGGCCATGGGCATCATGAACTCCTTCGTGAATGACATCTTTGAACGCATCGCTGGTGAAGCATCACGCCTGGCGCATTATAACAAGCGCTCTACCATCACATCTCGGGAGATCCAGACAGCCGTGCGCCTGCTGCTGCCTGGAGAACTGGCCAAGCACGCCGTTTCTGAGGGCACCAAAGCCGTCACCAAGTACACCAGCGCCAAGTGAGCTGTCTGTCGCATTTCATACCCCAACGGCTCTTTTAAGAGCCACTCACACTTCTCTAAGAAAAGCTGTAGCACATTACCTGTCTTGTTTTTGTGTGGGTGAAGGGTAACTTGGAGTAACCGGAAAGGGAGGGAAATGGCTTTAGGTTTTGCTCTCTGCAGCAGTAGTAATAAATTACCATTATTGTCATTAGTGAAAAAAATACCAACTGTTCTGCAAGAGAAAGATGAGGCTTTGTGCTCCCGTAAAGATTTGCAGCCTTGGAAACCCTTATGAGTCGGAACTGACTCCACCGTGCTTTACAACAACTGTCAGCGCCTCCTATTATTGGGCACTGTTCGAAAAGCCCGCCACGAGCTGCAATTGGCTTGGCTTGGCACTCCCGCTCGTTTTACGTTACCTGTGGGAAAGTCCTCGGCTCTAGAGTCTGAGCTGTAAATTAACAGTTTCGTTTTCCAAAACCCAGAGATAATCTAATTACACTACAAAATAGGGATTGTAACTTTAGCCCTGACTGCAGCACGGAGTAGAACTGGAGAGTAGGATTTTCAATGCTGATCTTCCGGAAACATGCCAGTTTGTCTTACGAAGAGCGCCATTTGGTAGGTTTGAACTGCCACTGCCAACTTTTAGGTTGGTATCGAGACAATGATTTAGGTTAAAAAAGCCACGTGAACAATAAAGGTCAAGGAAGTTCTTATAAAGATCACATTTTTAAGCAGCTAAACCAAAAGCTTGGGGAAGTTGCATTTTAGAATATTTTCATCAGGTAGGCCAGCTAGGGCCAGAGCTTTTTGAACCATCAACCTTTCAAGAAAAAAATGAGACATATATACTACTCAGGGATTCCTACTACCTCTTTTTAAAAGGCACATCACATACTCTTGGCCTTTTAAAATCAGCTACTTATCTAGCAACTCACTAGTTTTATTCTTCTTTTTTTTTTTTTAAGTATTATTTTCATGTACACGGGAGAGGTTGTTAAGTGCCTTTGAGTGGGTTGCGACTCAGTGACCCTGTATTGGGTATCCGAAGAGCAGTTGGTGGATTTGAACTGCCAACCTTGTGGTTAGCAGTTCAGTGCTGATACTAGAGCACCACACCAGGAGTCCACCTGGGAAAGGTAGGAAGAACAAATTGTTCATTTTGATTTAGCAAAGAAATATCACATGAATTAAGATGAAGGTAAGGATGTCAGTTTGCATTTTATTACTACAGCTGCAACAGTAAAACAAACAACCAATTAGAATTACAAACTGATAGAAGTTTAAAGTGACAGTAAACAATGTCTGAGGTATGGGTGTCTTTGGAAATCATTTCCCATTAAAAATATTAGTGACCAGTTCTGTTTTATGATACCTAACAAGTTTTTCTCTGTAGCTAAAAATAAGGGGATTTCTCTCCCATCACTTAGAAGGGCCTATTTCAAGGCTGAGTGATGTAAATTCCTAGAGATAAAAGCAGGCCAGACTGACAATTTGGCAGGTCAAATTAAAAGGTAAAAAAGAGGGTTGCTAACAAAAGTGCTATGGATTGTCAGGATAAATCACCAAAGACTTGCAAGTGGACAAAAAAGACTCCAGTCGTTTCAGTGGTACATTGGGTGCTGTGTGTTGGAGCCTCTAGGATGATTTATTCTAGGGGGATATGTATCTTTGATGGTCTATGATTGATTAGGCTATTTTACAACTCTGTTGTCAAGTGCCAATAAGTTGATTTCAACTCATAGCAACCCTGCATAGGGTTTCTGAGGCTGTAAACCTTTTCAGGAACAGAAAGCCTTATCTTTCATCAGCTGAACAGTTAGTTGGTGAGTTCAGATCTCTGATTTTGTGGTTAGCAGTCCAGTGCTTATCCTACAGAGCCACTGTGCTCCCATTTTACAACTTTTGTTGTTGTTGTTAAGTGTCATTGAGTCAGTACCGACTCATAGTGACCCTATGCACAGCAGAACAAAACACTGCCCGGTCCTGGGCCAACCTCACAATCATTTTTATGTTTGAGCCCATTGATGCTGTCACTGTGCCAATTCATCTCTCTGGGGGTCTTCCTCTTTTTCTCAGACTCTCCACTTTCCTAAACATGATATTCTTCTCCAGTGACTGGTCCCTCCTGACAATATGTCTGAAGTATGAGAGACGAAGGCTTGCCATCCTGGCTTCCAAGGAGCACTCTGGCTGTACTTCTTCCAACACAGGTCTATTTGTTGTTTTGGGAGTCCATGGCACTTTCAATATTCTTCTCCAACACCATAATGCAAATGCATCAATTCTTCTACAATCTTCCTTATTCATTATCCGACTTTCGCATGCATACGAGGTTATTGAAAATACCATGGCTTGGATTAGGCATACCTTAGTCCTTCCTCAAACTTACATCTTTGCTCTTCAACACTTTAAAGAAGTCTCTTGTGCAGCAGATTTGCCTAATGCAATACATCTTTTCATTTCTGGACTGCTTCTTCCATGAGTGTTGATATTTGATCCAAGAAAAATGAAGTCTTTGACAATTTCAATTTTTTCTCCATATGGATGTTGTTTATTGAGCCAGTGGTGAGGATTCTTGTTTTCTTTACATTGAGGTGTAACCCATACCAAAGGCTGTGTTCTTTGATCTTCATCAGTAAATATTTTAAGTACTCTTTGCCTTCAGCAAGCAAGGTTGTATCATCTGCATATCACAGGTTGTTGCTGAGTCTTCCTCCAATCCTGATGCAACATTTTTCTTCATATAATCCAACTTCTTGGATTATTTGCTAAGCCTGAAAATTGAATAAGTATGGTGAGAGAGTACAACCCTGTCTCTCACCTTTCCTAAATTTTAAACCATCCGGTGTTCCCTTGTTCTGTTCAGATAACTGTTTCTTAGCCTGTGTACAGGTTCCTCATGAGTACAATTAAGTGTTCCAGAATAGTCTTACTTTGCAATGTTATCATAGCTTGTCATTGTCCACACAATCAAAAGCCTTTGCATAGTCAGTAAAGCACAGGTAAACGTCTTTCTGGTATTTTCTGCTTTCAACCAAGATCCATCTGACATCAGCAATGATATCCTTCATTCCACATCCTCTTCTGAAACCATCTTGAACCTCTGGAAGTTAACTCTCAATGGACAGTTGTAGTCATTTCTGTATTATCTTTAGTGAAACTTTGCTTGCCTGGGATATCAATAATATTGCCTGATGATTTCTGCATTCCGTTGGGTCGCTTCTCTTTGGAATGAGGACAAATACGGATCTCTTCCAAATTTCTTGGCATAGATGAGTGAGTGCCTCCAGTGCCACATCAGCTTGTTGAAAGATTTAAATTTGTATTCCATCAATTCCTGGTGCCTTGTTCTTTGCCAATGGCTTTAACTCACCTTGGACTTCTTCCTTCAGTATCATTGGCTCTAGATCATGTGCTGTTCTTGAAATGGTTGAACATTGATCATTTCTTTTTGGCACAGTGACTCTGTGCACTCCTTCCATCTTCTTTTGATGCTTTCTGCATCATTCAGTATTTTGCCCAGAGAATCCTTCAACACCACAAGTCGAGGTTTGAATTTTTTCTTCTGTTCCCTCTGCTTGAGTAATGCTGAGTGTGTTCTTCATTTTTGGTTTTCTAATACTTTTGGTTTTACAACTTTATAGAGATATAATTTAAGTTATAGAACACTGATAATATGGAGATGATGCTGTTTTTCCTTTTTACTGTGAATTGGGAGGTTTTCAGAACAGGTCACCTTTACATTCATACACATTTTATTTTACTTTGTTTACTGCAATCCCCACTATGGAACAGCTCTTACCCCATTTCTTCCCTGTGTTTCAGGGTTCCATTCTTCCTTCTATCATACATAACCCTTCTGAGCTCTGTTCTTGGGACAATGTTATCCTTTGGATCTTAAATAGTTAGTTATTCTAAGGTACGTGTGCTTCCCAATATTATTATTAGCCATGAAAATGATTCTTGATGATAGTGTGGAAAGGAAGATAGGGAGCACAAGTCACCTTTTTTTCTTCTAAACCTCACCAGAGACAGTTCACTGCCATAGGAATATTGCCCCACAAAGAAGTTTCTGGACCACTCTTGTTGTTGTTAAGTGCCGTCGAGTTGATTCCAACCCACAGCAACCCTGTATAGCGTTTCCAAGGAGCAGCTGGTAAGTTTGAACCACCGACCTTGCAGTTCAAACGACTTAGCATTAGCCCACAGTGCCACTTAAAATTAGGAAATTTCTGTAATTTCATTAAAATCTATGAAATGGGCAACTCTGAAGAATCAGATTCCAATTTTGAGGAATTAGAAGATTTTAGTTCTACCAACCTTAACCTAGGTACTACTGTCACCATCATCCTTGTACTTTATTGAATTGTCTGAGATTGCTTGTCTCCCTTTTCTCAACTAATAGTGATCTTCGGAGTCTCTTCCAGCAAAGTTTGTTTCTAAAAATAAGTCTCTTAGATGTGTAACTAAAAGTGTTCGTTTCAGGAACAGACAATCTCAGGACCATCAAGAAGGAAGAACATGAGATCCCTACCTAGAAAAGCAGCGACAGCAGAGATAGTGGCAGAGGCAATGGCAAGACAGATAGAGCAGCTGCAGGCTCGAGGCCTATGGACTGAGAAAGGTTGTGTGCCTGCCAGCAGGAGGCAAACTTGCAAAATATGCCCTTTGGATATTTAAATGATATATGTTTTTCATTTTATATGTGTACATCAAATATTTTTTCTTTGTTCATTTGTGAAATATAAAAGGGAAACCACAGGGAGGAAGTAGGATAATAGTTGTTGCAAGGAGGGGATTGTAATCCCTGAGATTAAACAAATTGCATGATTTATTGAATGTAAAGATGATGCTCTTGTATGTTAACCTTCACTCAATTCACAATGAAAATTGGGGGGGGG